TGGGCCCAGTGTAATGGCTAACACGTATACAGGACCCACGAATACACACATGCGAATAGAGAGGCTGCTGCGGTGGGAGCCGTTGCATGTGCAAAAAGTTGGCCCCGTCTTTCGGCTCCGTCTTCTCGTAATAATCAATTATTTCTGTGTAATTTATGGTAATGTTCAGTCATGATGGATTGACTGCTCTAATGTCGCTCTAAATCTTTGTAGCTCGCTTGCCGGGGTACGCTTGCCTGCGATCCTCCATAGCGATCCTACTGGAACGGGCCTCAAAATCCCCAGCCAAAAAGCAAAGCCAAAACTAAAACCAAACCAGAGCACCAGAGGAGATCTGGCCAAGGCAGGTGCAATTGCTCAGCGTGGAGAGATGTTTCTGCGGCGCACGGGTCTCCTACTAAAGGCTGGCCCAACTGTCTGCCAAACAGCCGAACTGCATCCAGCCCGGCAGGTCGTTGAACAATGGGTAATATCTCTATATATTTTCATGGTTTTCATATTGATTAAGCTCAGGTTAGAAAAAATAATGTAAAGTTAAATTCGAATTTGTTATTTCCTTGCCTAAGAGTTAATAATATTTGTATATCAAAGTTAAACAGAAATCGAATAGTTCCATATAATATAGTAAACTACTCTCCCGATTTTTAAATATGTAATATTTTTTCAAATTTAAGTTCAAATTTTTCTGATTCCATCCCATGGTGCAGCTCGCGTCTTTACTTCCGTCACCTCGCCCCATCCCTGAATCCCTCACCTTCCCGCAGAGGTAATATGTAGCATATGTTTTCGTAAGTTTTTTCTTGTATTTTGTTTAATGGCAGCTTAGATTACACGGGAATCCAATGGTCAGGTGTGTGGGGTATGGGGAAAAACAGAGCTTCGCATGTTGACTGCAGCTTCCAACGGATCGTCGAATCCCCCCGGAAAAACCAAACTTCCCTTTTCCCCCTGAAAAATACGCCATGTAACTGATGTTTAAAATTGCTCTGTGATTTTCGTGGCGAAATTAATGTTAAATAAGCTTTTAGTTTATGTCCCGCCACAGCGTTGATCAATTTCTCAGTCACCTGGTCCCCAGTCGTCCTCTTCTTTTCTAGCTGGTTTTCCTACTGCTGCTTCGTCTTCTTTTTCCCCTTCTAAGCCTTGTTAAGTGTGCTAGTGTGTGTGTGTGTGTGTGTGTGTTTGCTAGCCGGTGTTGCCTGGATTTCTGGCTTGTTTATGTGTAAATTATGCTTGTACACATTTTACCCACAATTGTGTATAAATTATAGACGAATTATTATGTTTGCTGTTCGGCTCCGGTGAGGCTTACATATTAATATAGCACCAAAAGCCGCCTCCTAACATTTGAAATTCAAACGATGAATAGTGTGTGTAGTGAATGGCTTTAATCGAAGTTGGATTAAAATAATAATGGGAATCTGAGGTGGGCTTTAGTTCTGTACAGAAAAAGCTGTGTTTCTTCGGATAAAAGTTGAAACAGATATAAATTTATTATCATCCTATATCCTGCTACCTATAGTTGGAATTGCACCTATATACCCTGCTACTTCTCTAGTAGGCCGACCTAATGGTCAGCTCTTCTCCTTAGTTACAATATTCAACTACAGCTCTTGGTGAGGGCGGAGCGAAATCTATTTGGCTCTTAAGAGCTAGGGAATTAGTTCCGCTGGCAATTGCTGTGAGCTGCATAAAAATGATTTGGCATGCAGTGGCAGAGCGAAAGCGCCCAAAAACCCCAAAATCTGCTTGAGGGCCTGCTTAGTAGGTGGTTGCCAGTTGTTTGTTGCAGGAAGTAAATGTTTAGGGTCTGGGAAAGATCCATAGAAAATGGGCTTAGTCCGCGGGAATCCTTTAGCTCGCCGTGGTGTTATGCAAATACCTGGGGCAAACATCATCGCCACTAGAATCAGCAGCTCCACTACCAAAGCAACCAGCACCACTCTGGGGCACCACCCTGTGTGCAGCACAATGGCTACCGTGCGCGTGCAACAGAACACGTACAAAACAGCAGCTGTTTAACATTTATTTGCCTATTTATTAATTTCATGTAACATTTTTTTCCTAGGAAAAGTTCCACAATGCGAAATCAAAGCCAAAAGGCAACAAGCTCGACGCATTCTCTTGACGCCAGGCAGTCGCCTCGGGTTTTGCTTTTGGACTTTGGTTTGGTCTTGGGCTCGGATTCGGGTTCGGGTTCAGTTCCAGGGTCTTCGAAATGTCCAAGCTATCCAGCCGGGCCAACTGTTTTGGCCAAGACAATAAGCTAAAAGCCTGGGGCCATCGGGAGGGACTTTTTGCCATACTTCTCCCACTATTTGACTCGGTCTCTGCGCTCCTGCGACTGTTTATGTTGCTGCTGCTGCGACTGTTGCTGCTGCCACAAAAAGTGTCGTGACCCCGGCCAAGGCATTGCATATGGCCAGGATTGTGGGAGGCTTATAGAGCAGCAGCAGGAGGAGCAGGAGAAGGAGGAGGTGGAGATAGAGGTGGAGCTAGAGGAGCTGGAGGAGGTAGGACGGTACAAAAATTACATGTTGTTCCTGTTGAAATGTTTGGCCCAGCATTCCCATTGTCGTCGACGTTTATTTATAAATTTCTTTGCGTTGTTTACCTTTTGAAATACTCTTTGATTTGGGGTACATTAAGAAGTAAATAAAAGAATTAAGAAGTCACAAATTAGTCTTTATGATGTATAAGTAAAGTATTTAACCTACAAAAATGATACTTATTAATAAACGTTTCTTAGGAAATTGTAGGTGAAATTGTAAAAATATATATCAATTTCTTGAAAATAAAAAAAAAATTATAAAATTTCTTTTAAACAATAAATGGTTACTAAATACTTATTTTGGAGTATAAAGAGTATTAAGCATTCCCTTAACTTAAGGCTACTATTACCCTGATTTTATGTGATTTGGCCTTTTGGCTAATATTAAAGGCTAAGGGGAAATATGTAACAGTCCTCGTGCTGCTCCTGGAGCCTCGTCCAGGAGTCGTCGTCTCGGCCGTTGTAGCTTACATAAGCATCTCTGGCTAGGACAAAGGAAATGCAAAAATGCCAAAAATCGCACAACTCAAAAAAATCGTATAAAAAACAACAAAAAAAACACAGAGGAATATACTAAAAAACAGAAAACGCGAACGCGAATGCGAGTAACTTGCACACAAAACGATTCTGGCACCCATGAAGAGCAGTAGTGGCCGATGGATTTGGTGAGGATCGGACGGGAGGATCATCGAATCGGCCTGGGCGGGTGGTGATCGTGGCACATTTGCATACAATGAGGCCAGGACTGTGGCACACACCCTCCCCTTTGCATAGCCCCCTTCTTTCCTTCCCCTTTCCACCAAGTACTATATGTTATCTGCGACTGTGACCTACACCAATATTTCTGAGAATGCTGCTGTTGGCCGACGTCGTCGCCTGTAAGTGTGTAAGTGTGTCGTCGTCGTCGTCGTCGTCCAGTCCCAGGTCTCCATCTGCAGCACCAGTGCCACACGGAGGGGAATTTTTATGTTTTTTAATATTTATAATTTATGTTTAGTTGAGATATTTTTACTTTATATAATGGTATTAACTCAATAACCTATTAACCATAAAAATATATTATTTTTTTAAGTTTTTAAAATTTTAAGAAAATATTATAGTAGCTTGGATTTCGGATGACAGAACTTGACTTTTATGAGCATATGTGGAAAAATCTTACTTTTAATGAAACTTTCTGCTGAATATCGTTATCCCTTACTATTTCTGCGAGTGGCCTTTTTCCACATCCAGCTCGCCAGTCACATAGCCAGTCAGTATCTCAGACAACCGACAACGGACGACGACGAGGAGTCATTCAATCGCGCCAGCTGCGGCGTCTACATCGTCAGCGTTCCGTTCCGTTTAGCTTAGGTTTTTCTCTCCTCTCTCTGGCTTTTTGTTTGCTTTGTTTTTGTGTTTTTGGTTATTTTGTTGGCCATTCTACTTACAATATTTGTTGGATATCACCAAAAGATCTCGGCAACAGCAGCAGCAGCGGCAGCAGCAGCCGAAAAAAGGAGCCAGCCTCCTCGAGTGGGCCTGTGTGTGAAATCCAACTGTCTGGCGTCTGTTCTGCGTCGTCGCCGAGGTTTCATCGAGGTTTCATGGGTTTCATCGGTTTCATCGGCGGTTCGTCGTCACCATGAAGTGGTGCCCCCAGTACGAGTACTTTGAAATTGAAAATGTCTATGAATGCTACCCAAACTTGGGGCATTGGTGTGGGGAGTGGCTTTTGGATTTTAGTTTTTTTGGTTGGTTAGTTTCTGGGCGAAAGCGAATGATTCGAATTCGGCTGCTGGTTCAGAGTGCAAGGCATTAATGGAGGATCCAGGAAAATCATGACATTTTCCCATTGCGCTTTTCTTCGTCATTATGGTAATCATCCTATGATCAGTGATCAAAAAGTGGCATTGCTTAGATTTTTGTTTGGTTTATGACATGTGTTAGGATTTGGGTCAAGCTAAGTCAAGATCATTAAAAACTAAATGGGCTTAAATTGCCAATTTAAGTTACTAAAAGACAAAATAAAAGTCACATAATAGTGATAAAAAATAGTTATGCAATCTGAAACCTTTTCAATCTCTTAACATTTTCTCTTTCACAAAATGCAAATTATCTAACCATTTAGGACTTAATCGGTATCTTTATAGACTTGAAGACTTTATTGGCAATATGTTTGGTTATAATTGCCCATTAAACTTGAATGCTTGTGGAGTTTTTTCAATCCCTTGTGAAATATAATAATTTATACATTCCATTCTCTTCCCACTCAAAAGAAACAACTTCTGGAATTTTCTTCAAACGAAAATACTTTACAAGTTTGTTTATTCAATAAGCAAAATACGAGAGCATATCAATAAATACGTGTATAAATAAACTTTTAATAAATAAAATAAAATAATTAACCTAAATAGTCTATGTAGAAGTAGATATTTATATATAGATATATATATATATATATTTGCGGAGTTGCAAAATACGAGTGATCGTAAAAAACTTTAAGCGCGCGCCATAAAAATGTCGCTAATAAAAACGCTACAACTAATAGAGCTCTCTTGGCTTGGCTTGGATATATTTCGTTAGCTTCCGTTTCAATATTTTCTCTCTTTTTTTTGCGGTCCCATCGCAAAAGTAATTTCCAAGCGCTATTTTCATGCTTATAGACTCGTACTTATATTTTTTTAATGTGTTGTTTTTCAAGATTGCACATACAAAATGGGAAATGGGAAAACAAAAGGGCTTTATGGAAATCGCTTAAATTAGCTGTTTTTATCGAGAAAACGAGTGGCTATAGCGTTTGCGTTTTTGTTTTCTTCGTTAGATAAAAATAATTTAAACGCTAAGATGACAAGTGGCAATTAATTTAAGTGTGATTATCACCTGGCCGCCATGGCAGTTCTCCGTTCTCCGATCTGTGATCTCTCTGGGTATTTCCAAGCTTGCGCTGATCACTAATTTTTTGGATCTGCAAGGTATATATAAATATATAGATATATAAATGATACGAAGGGCGGAGGGGGCATTAGCATAAGCGTGGCATGTGTTTGGCGGAAGCTTATAGCTTATCAATAATTAAGATGCCTTTTACTAGTTCTCGGCTTTTGTTTTGGCGGCCTTAATTACTTAGCGTTTGAGTGCCAATTGGCCGCAGCTTTTGGTAAATCGTGCCGAAAATGTTAAAAAAAACTTAGTAAATACTAACCTCTATCCTCAACCGGTTCGCCGGCATCCCCATGGCCCGTGGCCGTTGGTATCGGTATCGAAATGGGTATCGGTGGCACCACCACCACCCCCTGAGTATCCCCCTCCAGGGCGTGCTCCCCACGTCCATGATGAAGTGCTAAATGCTGATGTTGCTGGTGGAGATGTGGCTGTTGTCCAAGTAGAAGCTGATGTTGTTGCTGCTGCTGCTGGAGGGGATTTTGGTGATTCTGACTCTGGCTCAAATGCTGCGAAAGATGCTGATGATGGTCACCGGTTGGTGGCCACTGTTGGTATGTAACAGGGACCAAAGGATCCGACATCCATTCGAAACTAAAAGCAGGTCCTATGGTCTGGGTGGTGCCCAAACCACTTTGATGCGGTGTTGCACTGGTGGGCGTAGGGGGTGTGGTCGTGATGCAGGGGCTTAGCTCGTGGGAGGATCCAAAACTGTCCAAGGAAGCTTTTTGCGCTGATTCTGACCATGGCGGACTGGGATTCCATTGCTCTATGAAATCCGCAGGATCCGGAGGCAGTGATTTATTGGGTAACCTCGGTCTCGTCGGTACTATGGTGGCGTAGATAACCGAAGCATCACTACTGACCACAGATGAGGTGGCATAAGCAGCTGCCGGATGGGTATGGATGGCATAGCAATCTGGTTCCGGAGTTATTGCCGCCGCCGGAGAACGTTCGGCGTGTAGGTAAAGAGGTTCCAGCTTGCGAGCCCGCTTCTTGGGCGGCGGAGGCGTAGACGATTTGGAGGTGGGAGGATTGGGAGTACTTGCTGCGTTGGGAGGATTCACCTGACTGTTCACCTGGCTATAGTCCACGGGCTCTTGAAAACTGAACAGCGGTTGATCCTCTTTAAGTTCGATTGCTGACTCGGCATGATAGACTCCACCATAGGTTCCCATGTGGGGATGATGATGGTAGGCGGTCGCCGGGTGGTGATGATGATGATGATGGTGCGGATGGTGTGAGTGGTGGGGATGGTGGTGGTTGCCAAAACTGCTGGCTATGCCCAGGCTGGGCGTGGTACCACCTGGAGTGGCTGGCGGATGAGACGAATGAGGACTGTAATATCCACTGGAAGGGGTTCCCGGTGGGACACGGATGCCACTGTCCAGCGGCATGCCAAACTGGATCTTCGACTGGACGGTATAGTAGTGATACAGCCAGGAGTTGGCCAGCATTATGGAGGCTTCGCGATCGCTGTGAAGGAGGGTTAAATAAGGTTTTTTATAGTAAAAATTATTAGTTAGTTAAATTAATTTGAGTATTTAATTAACTTAAATAATAAGAGTCTTTTTATTTACTTACTTGAGTACTTGGTTTGTGCATACGATAACAGGTTGTTGAGTGGAGTCGGGACTATCTCGAACTTGTAAGACGACATGGACCCACGTGTATTCTCCACTTGATCTTTGCATTCGTACCAGCAGGATACAACTGCGATCCTGTTCCGATTGCGTAACTATGAATGTTAAAAACAGGTAAAAGATTTAAATGTATTTCTTATTTATTTGTAAACAAGTAAACGACTTTAAGTGGTTTTTATGAACTTATTAGTTTTGCGGCCTAACAGGTTTTAAGTGAGATTTATTTAAATATTATTTTTGTCGACAGCCATTGGAAAAAACCATTCATGGAAAAGGTTTTAACTGGAATTTAAAAGCCCTGTTTCGCTTTGAATAATTTAAGCATTATTTAAGATTAATTAAAAATGCTTTTGATATTATTAACAGATATATTTCTTTCGAAAATTTGTATAGGCTGGCATATTTATAAAAATACATTTGGAAACTTTAATAAAACGGTGTGATTAACTTTATTTCTATTTAGTTAGCACTTACTTAATCTGTGCTTATTTTGCGCCTCCCTCAGATTCTCGCTGTGGATCAGGTTATACCAGGATGTACCCTGCAGCGTGGCCTTATCATAGCCCAAATGAAACTCGCCACTGAAAGCCATAAAAGAGCGATAAACATTATTTATATTTAATTTTAACTATCAATTTCCATTTATCGCCGCTACTCACTTCTTGTCGATGTGGGCTATTTTCATGTCCATCGAATGGATGGTGGTGAAGACGTTGGTGGCACCTTGTACCACACACTCCCTGGTCTCGGGCATGGCTATTGGAGTGCAGGTGGCCAGAAAGACGGGCTCGTTGCGACTGCAGAGCGGCAGGAATGACAAATAGTGACCCTGGACCAGGACAACCTGCAAATGGAGAGAGATGCAACGCTGTTTAGCTTTGTTTTCCAATTCGATTGCCTCCTTGTTTCGACATCGGCTCCCACGAAAATTGGCGCCCAACGCGGGGCAGCTGGGAGTAACTACTATGGCCATTTTTGGACCGGCATGCCGGGCGCACTCTCTCATAGACATTTTACTCTGATTCCATAATTTAAAAAAGGCAATCACAGAAATGTTTGTATGCCAACTCCTCCACAAACAAAAAAAAGAACCCACCAGGCAGTCTCAGGCTCGTCGTCGACTCGGAGCCATTGTCTCCCAATTAAAACGTGCCTGCATTTATTTCGTCCCAACTGCAATTGCATTTTCGAGGCTTATGGGCCGTTGCCGCCGTCGTCGTCGCAGTCTCAGTCGCAGCTTCTTCTACTTAAATGCAAATGCAGCCAGCCCAACGATCCTGATACCAAAAACCACCCGATCCCCCAAAACGAAACCCGTCGGATGACGCAGACGCCACAGTCTTTTCTGGGGTTTGTTTTTCTTTTCTTTTTTTTTGGGATTTTGGTAAATGAGACGACCTTAGACTTGGGACCAGGCGCCACTGCCGGCGCTGTCGCCGTCTCTTCTCTTTTTCCCTGGCTTTTGTTTTTTATTTTTCGATTTTTGTCTTTTGTCTATGGGGTATGGCCGTCTGGCACACTGGTTGGTTACTAGCTCTGAACTATGCCTGACCTCATTCATAATTATTTATTGGTCCATTTTTATTGCATATTAACGAGAGGCAAGCCTGGGAGTGAATGTGCTTGCATTTAGCCCGGCTCTTGGCTTGACTTTGGGGGTTATCTGGCGGTTCAGTTCATGTGGGTCTCTTGAGCGTCGAGTGTGCTTAGGCTGAGATTAGGTACTTATGTTCTGAGCAAGGCTGGGAATGGATTGGACATTCAAATCGGTTCAATTGGTATTAATATTCTGCTGTTTGATTGTTTTGTCATTTAACCATGGCTTACACTAACTTTATTGGATATTTAACTAACTTTAACTTCCTTATTTTGTATTGCTTTTCCTGAACCAAAGTCTTACACCTTTATCCGTAGAAACCGTTGTGAAAATCTCTTGCAACCAGCACTTCCTGCACCTCATTAAACTGCCAACACTCAACTTAATTAAAAACGTTTTCAGCCAACTGTCAACGCCTGGCCTTATCTCCATAATTTTGCTCACTGCACATCTGCGAAAAAGCGAGGAACGAAGAAAAAAAATGGACGCACGGCTTGGATCTGTGGAGATATGAATAAAAGTGAAGCGACCGCCCACCACATGGTGCACAGTAGCAAAGCCAACATCCATGACCAAAACGGGTAAGAGTTGCTGCCACAGCCAACGCTTCGCTCAACACGTTGACAGATTTGGTCTTGTCTTGTTCAACCTGCGGCTGAGATGGCTGGGAAGACAACTTCATATGGCTGCCTCGTTTTATTCACATCATCATCATCATCATCTCGCCGAGAGGCGGCCAATCAGAGCAGGTAAAAACCAGGTGGGATGGGGGTCTGCACCCAACAGCACCAGCACCAGTACCAGCACCCACCCGTTTCCCATCAACTGTCATCGTTTGTCAGCTTATAGAAATCCCGGCTCGTTGGCAAGATGTATGACCAGTTGGCCGCCGGCTCAAACGCATTGGTACGAGTTCTACTCCAAACTCGCAACTTCAACTCCATCTCCAACTCCATTTCCCTGCCCTCATGCATAATTCATGCAAGAGCAAGATGTCGATGTTGAGCGGCGTGGATCGGAGTGAAGGAGCCTGCAGTGTGGTAAAGTGTTACACGCAACACGCTTCCCAGGTGATTCATTCATCAATTCCTGTCAGAGACTTACACGCGCTTACTCATCCACGCAAACATACACAGAGAAAAATAGTAGGACTTAGGAACTATATTAAAACTAAAAATCTTCTTAAACTTATTATTATTATTGTTGAAACAGAGAATCATTTTCTTCTTATACAAGCAAAATAAGCAAATTTAAATTTCACTACTTTTTTTCAAGTGTATTGACACTCACCTTTTGATCGCCGAAACGCATTTGCCGTCGCGCATTGCGGCTAACATTCATGCGACAGAGGAACATGCGATGCTCGCCCTCGAGACTGGAGGCGCCACCAGCACCACCGCCACCGGCACTTCCATTGCTGGACGTTGAGTCGCCGGCACCGCCAGCACCACCGGCACCACTGCTGTTCGCCTGACTTGAGCCACCCGGCTGCGGTGGCACGTTCCTATTCAGTTCGGCCTGGATGGTTGCGTGATCCTGTTTGTCAATGATATCGTAAACGGAGTCACCATGTATCAGCAGATCCTCCTGTAAAGAGAATGGCAAGAGGGGACATGGTTAACATGGGTTTACACTGGTCAGCAAATAGTTGGGCATTATAAGATGGAAAAAGTGGGACATACTTCAAAAATTCTTCAAATTGTTTGGTTAATGTTACAAATATCAAAAGCCAAGGACAAAGACAAAGTCATCTTACTGATATAATTTTAAGTTCTCTTAGCTAATATATAGTTATTAAGATCCTGCAAACAAAACTTCCCACTCAAACTAAATTTCAATTAGTCAGTCTATTGTTGTAATTTGTTAATGATGTGTCAGACGAATCTCGCATGCTCATCGCCGTTTTTTTAGAGCTTCGATGTTAGTGGCCAATTGCCTGCTGGCCATTTATGTCATGAGCTTTTATTATTGTTGACAATTATGGCCACGGCGAAGGAGAGAGCGATCGAAACGAAACTAAACGAACCAAACCGAACGATCGACCAATTTATAATGGCAAGCCGATGTGGTTGTAATTTATTTATGGCCACTGTCACTACATGACACATGACAATGGCAACTTGTTATGGGAATATGCAAAAATCGAATTTGAATTCGAATTATGATGCCCAACAACAGCAGAAACATCGGCAATAGTAAAAGCCAAAGCAGTAGCAACAACAAAGTTGCCAAGATCTATTGACATTTTTGGCAGTTTGTTAATTAACTTGGCTGGTAGTTGTTGCTGTAGCTGTTGCTGCTGCTATGCTGCTGCCGTTTTTCAGTTTCTACCGCCGCTAACTAACTCCGAGCCTTGCCACAAATTAAAAGGTTGGGCAAGCCACTTTTGGGCCTGTCCATGTGCACACCAATTCCGTTTTTATTGTGCCCGTAATTATGCCAACACATGGCATACGAGTGAATTTATGAACTTCACTGACCATTTAGTTTCTGTGGTGGGTGTCTCCCAGTTCTCCACTCCCAACTCCCAGAGCTCCTCCGAACTCCTGATAAGGCTCGGCACAAAGGCCAAAAGGCTGTCAAATGTCATGGTTGCCAATTGGCTTACTTGTTTTTATTTCTTCTTAACTTCTTTTTTTTTTTGGTTCTCCTGCCTCTTGGCCGTTTGGCTTGTTCTTGTCTAGCTTTTTGACTTGCAGAGAGGGGGGTTGGGGAAGTGCAACATTTAGTTGATATGAAAGGTTGTCTGGCCAAGAAAAACAAGTGGAGCGTTTCCCTGTTGATATGAGGTATGATCAAGTTTTATTTTTTTTCATTTTCGGCCCCGAACATATCCCAATTCGTGGGATCACAGGCCAACCTCTGATTTATGGCATAATTTTCATTCGAGACCAACAGACCAAACCAGACATTACACATACGCCCCATAGCACTGGCATTCGAAGACTTCGAAGAGCCGACAATCACCTGGCCACTAATCTCGGGTACCTTTGTCAATGTCGGCTCTGTGTACGAGTATATGTAGAACGGAGATATGTCACATTTGCTTGGATCGGCTAGATTTATTTAAACCGTCGGTTCAAATGCAAAGTGAAAGGCCAAGTACATATGCAGATATATATATATATATATAGGTATATATAGATATATGTATATATTTATCTACATGTATAACCTTGCTATTTAAGCGGCATAAACGTGCAATAAACAAAGCTTGAAACACGGGGTAACGGCAAACATCGAGCTGTGGTTTTTAAGGAACCAACAGACTTATATAAGCTCAATGAATCGGGTCTGTTTAGGTCTTTAGACAGTTGCTAACTTGTCAACGGGAGCAGCAACAACATCAGCCAACTAGTACAGCACAAACAAAAAACTGCAACAAATATGTTTGCTGTTGCTGCCGCTGCTGCTGGTGCTGTTGCTGCTGCAACTCTGATGTTGCTGCTGTGCTTATGTTGCTGCTGCAGCTACTGCTGTTAGGAGACTATGACATGCTCTGACGACGACAGGCATCGTCGTTTGGCTGTTGTCGCTTGTCAGAGATTTGTATCAACGGTTGTAACAATTTCAGCCCCCGAAAACAGAAAACCAGCCCAAAAACAATCCGCAACTTTCGCAAAATCTCTTACCATGGAATGGCCCAAGTACTCGGCAGCATTATCCGATATATAGAGCAATTTGCCATTCTGTGTGAGCATCATCAAGAAGCCGGAGAGTGCCTGTAAGATAAATACGGATATGAATACACACTGTTTAAATATCTAAAAATATTTAAGAATTTATAACTATAGAATAATAGAAAAGAAATAGCCTTAACGTTTCGCTAAATCACTTTATTTTGTTCATAGCTAGCCAATTATTTAAACGTCTTATCATGCCGCCCAGCTACTTCACTTTTAACACCCCCTATTTGAAAAAGCATAAATTGAATCTTGTGTTGAAAATGCAAATTCATTTTCGCGTCTGAGCACTAATAAATTGTTAGCCCAAAAGCCTGGCCAAAAGCCCACGTTGACAACCGCCCAAAAAGCTGCCGAAGTGAGCCCGAAAAGGGGGAGTATGAGTAGTACTCGTACTGGTGGTTATAGTATTTAATTCAGTCACGAGTGTGCACAGGTATGTAGATCAATCTCGCCCCGACTGGAGCAGTCAGTGCCAGGCAGCTTGACTGACTACTGTCTTCTGTCGACTGTAGACTGTCTTCTGTAGTTTTTAGTGCTTTTTTTTTTGTCTGCTGGCTGCTCCTGTAAATCTTTGGCTTTTCCTTGGGCATTTATTGTTTGGCCCGCTGGCTTTTAGCTGATTTCCTCTTCTCGCTTTTGGCGCAGCAAGTGGCGGCGAGCAAAACGATTTCTGACTTATGATATGGCCAGCTTTTGTGCCATTAATAGAGTTGTTTTCCCGGGAACTTTCGGTTGAGTTGTCACCGCGATGGCTTAAATTGAGTTGTTTCTCTCGGTACCCTGGGAGCCTAATCGAAATGTCATCGGTACGGAAAATTGCCGAGGTTATATGGTAAAACGAACGCAGATCCGGCAATCGGACTCCTAATTACGCTCCGATTGAATATGAATTGTAGAGATGAAAATTTCCAAGAAAAGTTTATATTTATAATCTTAAAAGTATTTCCTCTTTTCTTACCTTTGAGAAGCCAATATTTGGTGTTGCTGTCTGGTGATGAAGATGATGCATCGCATTGTGTCGTTTGAAAACTGCAATGGGAGGAACACAGAAAATGGATTCTTGAAAATAATGCTAATTAAGTTAATTGACCTTTTAAGTCTTGCCCAGACGCGCCCTTTCGATCAAGACATCCGTCTGATGTAGTAGGGGAAAATTATCCAGTAAGTGGATATGAGTATATTCCCATGGCAGTACTTTATATGCAAAAGCATTGGCTAATTAAAAAACTATTTGTTAATAATAGACTCGGTTCCTCTCTCACTTTGTGACGGCGATTGTTAGATGCATTTGTGATTGTTAATTCATTGATTATATTCTACATACAATGAGCAACGATGTTTGCCGCCTAACAAAAACAAGTGAATCACAAAAAGAAAATGTGTCATTGTCACTAAGAGCCAACAACAGCAGCAGCAACAACAGCAGCAACAGCAACATCAACGATAGTGGCAACAGCAACATCAGGCTGCGATCGCTGAGTGCAATTGCTGTTTTGCAGCTGCATTGCAGGCAGCATCAAGATCAATTATTTTTAAAACACTACGAGATACTCCCGCACCTGGCAAACAAAACAAAATACAAAAAAATAAGAAGAGAAACAGCCACAAAATCAGCATCAGGCCACAATCACCACGGCAACAGCAGCAGCAACAGCAACAGCAACAGCAACTGCAACTGCAACTGCAACAGCAGCAACCGCAACTGGTAATTTCATTGAACTTGAACGGAAAGGCCATGAATGCAGTCAGATTTTCGCTGGGCTTTAATATTATCCACTATCCGGGCAAAATACTCAGAAATCCGTTTTGCCAAGAAGTCTGTCGTCAGCGTACCTGATTCAGCCAAAATAAAAATAAAAGGGGAGTGGCAGCCAGCTCAATGCTTTTCCACTTGGCTTTACAATTTACAAGGGCAAGGGAATGTTGCTGGCTTTATTATTTATCTTGCTGAACAGAGTTTACTATAAAGTCATGAAGATAAAATTTATAAAATGTGACTTGAATGTATTTATAAGGATTTTTTGAGGACTGTTTTTTAAAGTATGTACATAAGGTGATAAAAAATATGGATTTTCTTTTTAGTTATTAATTAAGATACAAATCTACTTCTATAAAAGTAATATGCAGACTTAATAAATCTCAAATTTTATGTTTTTCATAAACAATTAACCATTAATTGATAGAATATACCACTGAATTCCCAAGTAAATTCTGATATTTAATCGATGAGCAATAAAATGTAAAAATCAACCTACATGAATCAAACACCTTGAACCACAACCAAAAACTATTTTTAATCTGTGACCACTTCGCAGCTTTTTTGCCATTTCTGCTGTGAGATTCGCTAGCAAACACGACAATACTAAATGCTAGCCAATTATACGGTCTTCGATCTGATCCAAGCCGCCGGGCTCAAGATCTTGCATACAAACTAAACTGAAAATAAAACGGAAAGAATCTCATTGTATTGAAAACTCAATTTCGTTTTATAAATATGTATTTCATTAATCGCGACTATCTCGGCAGCCACACCCACCCACAAACATATATCTACAATAACAAAAAACTCAGACGGAGAGCAAACGAATCCATTGAACTTGCAGATACAAAGATACAAAGCGATTTCGACGTGCCAATATTAACACAATTTGTGATTATAAATGCTTTTAAACGGTGCAATGACAATGAACAACAACAACAGGAACAACAAGGGAAGCGCACACCCAAATAAACGAAAGATACGAGACCCACAAAACGCCGACTATTTCTCACACTAATGGGAAAAAGTAGAGATGCTGGGGCTGAAGGTGGATGGATGGAGAAAAGAGCAGTACTTAAGTTTAATTTTTTGCAATTTGTAGAACACATAAATCGCACATTTTGATTTATCGCAATATTTATAGCAATGCCAGGCAGACGCTCGTTGTTACCATTGCAATTGTGAAATTGCTTGGCTAGCAGACTTTGCAGACTTGCAGTCTTGGAGTTGGAGGAGTTGGCTTAGCTTTGAGATAGTATAGTTGGGGGATGCTGGTATGCCGCGGATCTGCAACAGTTTCACATGGATTTCCTCCAGTTTTCTGTTCGTTTCTGTCTGCGCACTGAGATGCGAGCCAAGAGTTAAGAGTTCCACCAGCCTGGTGTGTTATCTATGGGCCTATGTACCGCACAACGCTAATTTGAAAAACAATTTTCGTAATTATCCAAAAAAAAAAAAAAAGGAACAGAAAAAAAAAAACGAAAAAATAGCAGCGCAAATAGGTAAGTAAAGAGCGAACGATCTTGTTCGGTTGCGCGTTGACCTGCGCGCATGCGCATTAAAGGAGGATGGGACCTCTGGGGGACCGATCCGAATGCATCCGAGGATCTGAATCCAAGGGGGCCCCTTAGCAATTTTGGCCCGCCTGGAACTGGGTGCGTGCCTAGACGCTGCGGCAATTACTTGGCCAAAAACAATTTTAGCCGGGCTTTTGGGGCCATGATAGAGGGACACTCGACATATGAATGATGTTGGTTTAAACCAAAGCGAAGCCATGCGCCTAGCGGTTTTTCATTCCGGCTTAAACGAAAGTTGGTGGAACACTTAGCAAAATATAGGGGTCTTTAGTTTAAGATTAAGGGAAAATGGTACATGTGGTTCTACATAACTGGTAAAAAGAGAACATTTTAAACTAACAATTTAAAAATATCTTGTAGAGAAAATTTAATTTTGCCACATTTATATTAATAAAAGGCATAAGAAATTTGCAAATTAAAATCATATGAAAAAGTGTAAAAAACGTGTTAATGTGCTAATCGACACAGGAATTTACAGAATGTTTTTTGTTAAGTAGCAAGTTTTAAGCCTTTTTCTTTTTGTGCACTTTTTGGCAATTAGATTTTTGAAGTGCAACGGCGGTGGGTCCTGCACTCGGCAGTCTCAATCTTCGCGGCTGCACAGAGCCACAATCACAGCCGCAATCTCCATCTGCTCATGACTCATGCATATTCAATCAGCGTGCAGCCAATTATCAGCATGCATATATGCATTGGGAGCCAGGCTTTTGGTTTGGTTTTCTGGACCCGGGGTGAATCCAACTTTAACTGCAACTTCAGCTTACCTTGTTGGAAGTAGTTGGCTTTCCGCACATAGACACAGACCAGGGCCATCAGTTGGAGTTGCGAGAGGCGCTGGCGCGTCGATTGGGGCAGCGGCAGGAGATCCCTCAGATTGGCTATCTCCGCATTTATGAGATCGCGTCGCATCTTCGAGGCGCCCTTGGTCGATTTGTTGGCATCGAATCTGCAATGGTTGAAATGGGATATGGTTAAACAATTAGAATATATGGGCTCGTTCACAGCTACGGCTTAATAAGTGCAGAATGGACAGATAGACCAGGCAGACCAAACGAATGGCACCACATAACTAGCCGCCAGGCCGGGGCATGTGTTTTCACAGCCCAACACACACTCGGTTGTGTTTTGCCTTTCCAAGTGTGTCTCCGTTTCGCTCTCGGGCTTATTAACCCATTGCTAGGTGGTTTAAGCCATTTGGGATTTGGCTTAGGAATTCCATTTATTGCCAAACGGTTTTTATAGTTCAGTACAAAGTCACAAGCAAGTTAGACTGACACCCACAATTAAAGAAATCAACATTAAAGCGGCATTTTCAACTATAAAAGATATCGACCAAGACACTGATTTTACGTGACTTGATAGAATGCCTTAAGTAACTTGGTCATTAAAAATTTACAGCTTAATTACAAGGTAATGAAAATATGTTGGACTTATAGAGGCATGCACAAGAAATTTGATAATAATTTTTAACTTTTGTTCATAAATCATTTAAATGTTTAGTTAATGAATAGGTTTGAATGTTTTTATTAAACATTACAAAATTGTGTTAAATTATTTTATTTCTAAGAATTATAATCTCTGAATATATATTTTTACTATCAAACATTCTAAAAGTTATGCAAAATCATTAATAAAAAATTTTCTTGCCCTAAACTTTTATTAAATCACAGCTAATACTCATGAGTTTCTTCCCCAATCAACTCAATATTTATTCATTTAAGACCAATTTATTTGCCTTTTGATCCGCTGAACACAATGGGTTAAGGATGGCTCGCACATACCGCCGCGCGATGCCCGATGCATAAATAACTCATCGCGCATTTAAAAATCATACAAGCAGCGGTATGTGGCTGTGGTTCAGCGGTCGTTCAGCATTGGTTGCCTGGTGGCTTGCCGGTGGTTGATGTGGGGCACACTTGCCACATGCCTTGTGCGGAAAAATTGTGCAAGTAGGTTGGTCAGCGTCAGAGTCAGGCTCAGCGGTCCGATGCGATTGTTGTTGCTGGTTTTGGGCACAAGCGGCACAAGCGTTTAGCAAAAACTGTCCGTGTGTACTTTTGTGAGCATATTATTTACAAGGTTGAAATCATAAATCATAAATTTGTCTTTTTATGCGGTCGGCGTCGGCGGCGCATGCGGCGTATGAGTATTTTTTTCTTATTTATGCTGACGTTTTGGCCAGGCCATTGTTGTTGTTCTTGTTGGCGATTATTTTGCAAGACTTTTTTATGATAAATATTGGTAATATTGTTGTAATAACAGCAAGTGCCCGCGCCTTTTTGGCTTTCCTCGTTCGACTGTCTGCCATTTTGCCGCTGTTATTGCCTCTAAATGGCCATGTTAACATTTAAAACAATCTCACTGCGTCCGTGTGACTGTGAGTTGCATGCAACAACCGCTTCAGAGGCATGCAATGAACAAAATCAGAAAAAAAAGAAACACAGCAACAGAATCTGAGACCAAATCGAACGCTTCGTTCGCCTTCTGACTTTGAAATATATTCATGCATAAGGCCTATTCAATCTTGACCACTCGGAACAGTCTGTAATAGAACAGATTTAGCCCGGGCCCAGAGAATCGAAATTGAGTGGTCGAGTGGCTAACTCACTCGCTCACTCACTCACTGGCCAACTGGCGCACATTTAAGTCAAGGTGATTTGTACAATTAAAATGAATATTGATTTAAATGCTGCGATTGCGAGTCGCTCACTTATGGCCGGGCTGACATATATGTTTGGCCATTCTGCAGGGCGGTCGGATCGTGTGGGCTGCGGTGAAGGGTCTTCTAGAGAATAGACTGTCTAAAAACCAGGGAGGTTCATTTTTCAGTAGGTCAATTTAAAATGCGTGGAAGTTACATTGGCTTGTTATGGCTTTTTTTTTATTCAGTTTTGATTAATCCTTTTTATAAGACAGTTGTGAGATACTCATGGACACATATCATTTGTAATAGTCATTAATTACACTTTAACTTCAATTAAGACTTTATATCAAAGTCAACTAAAGGAATTATAAATCTTTCTATTATGCATCCATTACTTAACTTCATCAGTAAGCTAAAAATGCCCCAAAAACGACCCATTCTGCTGTTGTTTTCTGACCCCCTCTTGATAAGTATCTTCTGAAGACCAACCAACTTTGGTCATTCCATTCCACCTAATCCATACAGATCCTCCCACACATTCAGCTGGGAACGTTCCTCTCCCAATTAGCTACTTAAAAATGTCAAAGGCTTCTGCGATCTGCTATCTCTGGCTGGCTATTTGTGGCATAATTAATAAGTTTCTCAAATATTTATCATAAACAAGATGCCAGTGGTGCTGGCGATAATATGATAATGCCATCAGCCTTCTCGTAATGACCAAAAAAAAAGAGAAGAAAATGTAAGGAAAATATAAAATCCAAAAAACGTGTTAATGGGTAGGGAGAGAGATATATCTGATATATAAAGCTGTTGCGGGTGGAGGACACAGACCCCAAAAACTGCCGGCTGTAATCTACATCAAAATTTATCTGAGTGAGCGAGACATGTCAACATTTCTTAATATATCTATCGCTACCTTGAAATCTGCACTAAGTAGCACCACCAACTTGTTGGCCGTTCGCCGTTGTGCCAACTACTGTACAAGTTGTTGTTGCTAATTAAAAGCATAAACACGATTCTTAGCGAGGCGTTGTGGGATCATCCAACCAGTGGCCACTGTGTTGGTGGCTCTCGGTGGCTGAAAACCTGGAGCCACATGTTTTAATCTGCGGCTGGGGATCCTCTGGCGCAGTGGAAAAAAGATCTTAATCAAGTCTGGTCCAGCTTGAGTACTCTGGTCCTTGGCCCTCTGACTAGATAAAAAGAAAAAGAAGATTCGGTGGGCTGGCGATGGATACCTTAACGTGCTCCACAGAAATTAGGCACAAATCTTGTTGGCTGAGATTCTTCCGATTCCGATTCTAGTGATCTCAATGCCAATCGCCGTCCCTCACTAATTAGCACATAAACCGCCGAGGTAACATAATGCCAAACTATTAACTTAAATGGATTTTAAATGCGCATCTATGGGGCTAGCTGAGATCCTTCGTTTTCCGACTGATTTTTATGGTGGACCGAGGGCCTCAGAGCGCCATCGTAAAAATGTGGGCAGCAAATAAATCACAAGACCACTGAACTCCTCAACCCACCCCAAACAGTGAACTCCACCCGCTAGGGCTGCACTGATAAAAATGAAAGTCCAAGTGTTTAACCTCATTACAGAAGTACTTTAAACTTGGCATTGTTATTAAGTTTTCTGTTAAAAGAAACAAATATAAATAAATGTTAGAGATCAAAATTAACAGAAATAAATATTTCCAAACTTCATAAAATATCCTATTACAACTTTCTCATCTAGTTTTTTATGATTTATTTAATTTTCTCTCCGTGCACGTATCAATCCAAAGCCGAGTTTTAATATGCATCAGGGGCGTCAGTTGGGTTATAGGATCCCGGCCAAGTCCACTAAGCCAGACCATCGACTCCCAGAGCCAGACCAGTCAGTCAGTCAATACCAATTGCAGGCCAAGAGAAACACGAAATTTGCGCAAATTTTTATTGCACTTTTTCCTGGAGCGTCTTGTCTTCTCTTCTCCTGACTTGACTTGTGCGAATTGTCTGGTCGCAGACTAGATAACTCCCTCCAAAATCCCCCTGATGCCTCCCCCTTTTTCGCCATTTCTAGAGCTGTGTGTATGTGTGTAATTTGGGCGAGTTTATTTGCCATATTCCCACGATATAGTTCGGCCAGGCTATTGAGCTTGCGGGCAGCTCTAATGATTTCTGGCCACTCTGCTTCGCTCCGCCCCGCCCTTTCAGCATCCACTTTCTGCATCTTTGGGCGCACAGCTCACACACACACATAAACACGGTAAAAAATAGTGCAAAACGGCGTATAATGAATGCCAGACCTCTCAAACTGATGGGCCCCATAGCTCCAGAGCTCCGCCGGGTAACCCTAAACCCTACCCGAACTGAACCCACACCGTGTTTCGGATACGAGGCAAATTAATTGCCCAGGCGCCGCACAATGCTTTCCATTTTTGTCGGTTTTCGAGGATTTCTTGGAATCTTTTATTCAGCCACAAACACTTGTTTCTTTTTTTTTGTATCTCTCTCTTTCTCCTGTAGAAGGACTTCGCGGGTGCTTCATTGTGTTCTGCGTAAGTCGGTGGCAGTAATCGATACCTTTTTGCCAAACGCACACCTACAGATTAGCATCGGGGCGACGTTTAGCACAGAAAAAAAGAGCTGGCCAAAACCACCATCTAATAACCATGGCGAGCTCAGCGGCCTTTAGCCAAATTATATGCCAGGCCATAGGTAAAAGTGGCCCCAGGTGAGCGTTGACTGCTATGTGGTCCGTAGTCGGTTTTTTATGTTTATAATATGGCTAACAGATTACGAACTAAAAATAATTTTAAAGATAAAACTTTTAAAAATGTGGGAATTAATATTTTTTTGACTTTTAAGAATATTTTTTAAATAATACTAATAATTTTGGAAACATAAGCAAAGAAAAAATACTTTAAATGGCTTTTTGTAACTTAATTTAAGAAATCTGGAATGGAAGCAAAAACATCTTCACTTTCCCATTAATCCTATTTAACCTGAAGCGAAATACTTCGAATTCTATATCCTTAACCCCATCCTTCAATTATCTCAATCAATTAGTTAACTTACGAGTCTGTGTAGCAACCGTATAATTTACTGCTCTCAAAAGCTCATAAAGAAGTCTGGCGGGCAGCTACTGTGTTTATTTTGACGCATATATTTCAAAAATGCGAGCCACACCACCAGACGACCATTCCACACCACTCTGCAACACACCACCAAACCATACAAAAAACCAAAAAAAAAAAAAAAAAAAGAAAACGAAATAAACCACAGACCGCAGCTGAGATTTCATTGCCTCAGAAGAAATGAAATCAAGCTGCTACCGTCTGCCTTTTGCCTTTTGCCGTTCGATGGTCTTGTATGTTTGATTGGAATCTTAGCCACAATTTAATGATGGACTGCCAAAAGCACACTTCGATGATTGGCTCTTGGACATCGTCATTTGCAGCGGAGCTGCGAGTTGCAAGTTGGGAGTTGCGAATCTCCTCCGACGCCGCCGCATAATTTTTCATATTTTTATGATTTGTTGCTACCGGGTACTAAACCCGTTTCTTTCTGCTGATTTTCTTTTTTTTTTTCTTAAAGATTTTTTTTTTTTGAGCCTAACCATGGAGAGCGGCTACCGTTGCTGCATTTGCTTTCGATTATCTTAATTTGCGTGCGAAACTGAGTTTTTTCTTCCTCCGCCCGTAAGCCAAGCCCCAAATTGTGTGTGTACGGAAATTTTCCCATGACTTGGTTCTTGGTCTCTTTTGGCCTGGACTCTCTGTATACTTTTGTGCCCGCCGGTGGCTTGGCCAGAAATTACCCCAACTATGCTATAGTATGGTATGTTATGGTATGGTATGGAATGGCTCATCGGCTTGGGACTCTCGGGATTGATGGTTTTGCTGCCGTTGCACTTTACCGTCAGGCAATTAGCACAGGGATGCCGCAACTAAATAATTTGGTAAGCCTCAGGGCAGCAACTTCATCGATCTCAGATCTTGGCCATCGGCGGAGGTGGCGCACTTATTTGCTCAACATTTCATAGTCGAACGGTTTGGATTCGGATTGGGATTCGGTTTCAGTGGATAATGCCTGGTCATAGGGGAGTATTCCGAAATCGATTTCGACGCGCGTCACCAAATATTTATCTGAGAAATTAGATGGAAACGGAAGTCGGCCACTGGGAGAAAATCAATTCGGGGAAAAGCTCTTGATGTTTGGGGAATGGAAAGGGTAAATTCATGTAGTACTAAGTTTGTTTCAAATAGTTTTTGTCTTATAGATATCTTTAAAAACCAACTAAGTAGTTTTATATTTCAATATAAATTTTTCCTAAAATGAAAGAACCTTTGGAAATGACTTTTTGCTTATCCTCAAATATAGATTTTCCCTGAAGAGGAGCTCTTAAACTAATCCCTAAGAATATTTTCCAGTGCATTTGGCCATACTGAGATCTAGTGCAGCATTTACTGCACCGATATCCAAGTTGGGTAAATAGCCTGGTCCGCTCGGCTGATCGCTTTTCTCGTGAAATGTGTTAATGAAATTAGCAGCATAAAATTGCTGGCAGAGCCACCACCAGAGAGCCCCGTGCAGTGTTACAGATATCCGAACGAAATTGTATCTTGGCCGAGTGTCCGCGGCATGCTAATTACCAAAATTAACACCATCGGCGCAGGCCCGAAAGCAAATACAAGCTCGGCGCTCAAACTCAAACTCAAACAGAATCCGTACGCAACGGTTTCGGTTAGTTTCACTCAGGAAGCAGCCGACACAAAGATGCACTTCACAAATGTATCTTTTGGCTTTGACTCTGAAACTGAAGTTAAATGCTGACTTTTCCACAGGCTTCCTTAGCCTTATAGTTTTTGTGGTGGTGGTGTGGTGATGGCTCGAGTGGTGCCAGGTTTGTTGACTCTAATGGTTGGATGTGTTAAAAACAACAAACACCAGGTTTTCTTCGGTTTAATTAGTGTCATTTATTATTTAGAGCATATTGATATAGTTTTCGTTGTTTAACGGTTGTTTGTTTCAGTGCGAGGCGTGTTGTTGGCATTTCTAGTTCGAGCATGGAAAATATTTATAGAAATCCGACCGATTTTACTATTACTATTCCAAACGCCACAAATATTACAAACTGTGTCTGTGAATGTGAAAGAAGCGCGTGCTCAGGCGTGCGAACAATGAACCTTTTTTTTTATTATTAAGTTTGAAGCTTAATTTTTGATAGTTCGATGGCTGGGAATTCCAACAATTCCATGTGCTAATTGATAGTTTCATGGGCCACGTAAAATTCAGATGAATGAACTGAATTAAGTTAGTGATGTAGATTTTATCACTTGGAGAAAGAGTGCTTGCGGCTGAATGTATTTTCTAATTTAAAGTGAAACTCTTTGAAAGACAGCAATAATAAACTTTAATATAACTTTAAGTATGGTTAAGTACAGTTTACTTTTTCCTTACTTTCTAGTAAGATTTTTCTCAATCTTGACATTTTTATATATTTTTATTCCTGACAAACTCTTTTTAACTATCTTAAATGTCCAGGCCTATCTTCTATTTAATGCTCCATCTAAGCTGCTACCACAAACTGCTCTAATTTCAATAAGGACTCCGCATCCGGCAGAGTCTAGAAAATGACACCCACCCAAAGAAAATAAGAAGAAAAAAATAAGATGAGGGCAACACCTACCCAAGAATCTCCCACACAAAGGCAGGATATTTCCCCAACCAAAAAAAAAAAAAAAAAGGAAACCAAGACGAAAAAAACAGGAAAAATCTCAACAGACAAAGAACGAGCCATCAACAACATCACACGTGAGTTTTACACATTTCAGAAGCAACGGCAGCCCCGAGATGTGGCTAACTTTAGTGGCATCTCCTCGACTTTGTCGTCGATTCCAGTGGAGCTGGAGACGCCTTTTTTGGTGCCCCAACGTCGTCTTCGTGGACGTCCGATTGCCAACGTGGTAATGTCAATCGCACTGTGCGGGTTTAACTTATGGCAAAACATTTGAAGCACTAATTAATTGGAGCTAAATAAAATGGCACAGCATCTCCGGCGCAGTTTAGCTGGGAGTGAATTTTGCGCGTTTTTCAGCTCAGCGCGAATTGGCGCTGGGGGAATCGGTTGGTACGGGTACGCAGACCGACCGGAGAGATTACGAGGGCCAGATAACTGCGAACTACAAGTTGCCAATACAAGAGGCCATTAAAACCGGCAGCAGGAGCAGCAGCATCAGTACATGGAGAAAAATAGGATTTCCTTATATTATTTTAAGACTTTTTGTTATCAGGAAACTCATCACTTAGGGGATGTCATTAATAGGTTAACTTTCTCTGCAGTTTTTTAACCAAAAATTAAGGTTTCTTGTTCTTAATTAATTAATTTATTAAAATGTAAATTGACATATTTAATTATCTTGCTTTCTAATAGAAAACTTTTGTGGAAAACGCTGACATTGCCTTTGTTGGTTAGACCATCTAATGGAATATTTAAACATCTTTTTAATTTAAAGATTTCTAATCCAATGTCCTGATAATTTTTTCCAGTGCTCAAACCTAAGAGGAACTAACCAGAAACAAAAATCAGTGAAAATCCAGGAGGAGCTGAAGGAAAACAACGACGAAGAAATGGAAAGGAGTCTCGATCTTTGGCCAAGAAGCGAATGGGCTGAAAGGAGTTTCGCTGCCGGCAAATGCGAACTTGGCCTCGTATTTCAAATTCGAATTGACAAATATCGAAGCGTGCGAAACAAATTGAAATTAAAAGTTTGCATGTTTGGACGATTTGTGATGCGTGGCTGTGTGAAAACGGAGATAAGGCAGAATGTTGGCGCTAAGAACTTACCTTGTAAACATGCCGGCTGTCTGTTGTTGTTGTTGTTGCTGTTGCTGCTGCTGCTGCTGTGTTGCATGTTGCTGCTGTGTCGTCTGTTGCTGCTGCTGTTGCATGTGTTGCTGTTGCGCCAGTGTTGCTGGCGTTTCATGCTGCTGGAAGTTATGATGCGTATGCATTTGGTGCTGCAAATGATGTTGCTGTTGAAGGTGTTGCTGCTGTTGCTGTTGTTGTTGCTGCTGCAATTGCAGGACATGTTGCAAATGTTGCTGCTGCTGTAGGGGATGCTGTTGCTGCTGGAGGGCGTGGGTGGGCGGGGTCAATGCCGTCACCTTGTCTAGGCCACGTTTATTATCCGCATACATTTCGTCGATCGCACGTTTGCAAATATTTGACATCAATTCTAAAAGCAAGAAATGACAGGGCATTTTCAGCACAAGATTGTCGGATTGTCACGGTTATTTGGCCAAGATCTTAGGCCAATCACAATGGGGAATAATGATAATATCAATCAATATGTAGATCTTAATGAAAGTCTGCAGACTCTCTACCCTTTTCGATTTGCTAATGAAATGAAACAACAATTGTTGATTAGGTTTGTATATTCCATACGCTGGAAATAGTTCATGATATTGTTTGAATTGTCTGCGGCACAAAAAGCGTATTTTGAAGGAACTGATTTGTATTGTTATTGCCTATTTGAACAATTGCTATGGCTGTGTTCAGAGTATCCCCAATGCTGCCCTCAGATGAGTTGGCGCTTTTGATGGATTTTGATTTTTTTTTTTTGATTTTATTTGGGCACTTCGATTGCATAAGGAGTTGAAAATGATTTATAGCATTTTGCCTGGCGTTGCGGTATTCGATGGCGGATAAATAACTAGGGGTTAATGAAATGTCTTACAACACAAATACTAAACACTCGTTGGGTTAAGATCTGTGTTGATCGTATTTGAAACTCGTTAAGTCTTAAATAATGATCAATCAATTTAAGATTTGGCTTTCCGAGAAGCGGCTGAGGGTTGTAGATGTTTTCATGAAAAGGGAAATCTGAATATTTCTGAGGTAAAACAAATTTGTGTCAATCTAAAGTCACTGTAAGAATTATGATTATTCATTTTAATACTTCTTTTAAATGTTACAAAAATAACAGATATAATTACAGAAAATATATAGAAGTATTCAAGATCAAGGTATAGTTTCTTCAGTAAAGTTTCTTGTTTCAAGTTTAAAGTTTGGAGCTATCCTAGGCAACATCTAAGTAAAGGTAACTCTCGTTTAAATTTATATTTCAGAGAACATATTCATAATTTCATACCAAACTTAGTCAAAGGAAATATTTTATGCAGTGACCTACATATCAAAAAATTTTAGATTTTTCCTAGCTGGTTCTCTTCTTTCCCTCAAACCAAACCATCCATCCTACTATCACTTTCCTTAAACCCCAAAAACAAATACGGCACATTTCCAGGCCACTTGGGATGGCGCCAAGAAAAATCTCAAAAATCTCTTCTAACTCTGGGTTCTACTTGCCCCCCCTGCGGCCGGAAAGTGCAACAATTGAAATTAGTTTTGTTAAGTGAATTTCAAATTTCCATCTCGAGTATTCACTACCGTCTGCCGGGCTGGCGTCTTGGTCTGGCTTTTTGGGTCTTTGCTGCAACTCATTGTCAAGTGAACTTATCACCGAGGAGGGAAACAAGCAAAGACGACGGAGATAAAAAATGAAGAAAAAAAAATGAAAAAATTTGTTCGAGTTGACGTTTGGAGTGTCATCGAGTCGATGCTTGAATTTGTTTGGAGTTGTTTGAATAGGGACCACCAAAAGTCATTGAATGAAATGAAGAACTCCACAGATATATCTCTTTGCCCTGTACGACTTTGACTCTATATGTTATTTGACTTTTTTTTTTTTTGTTTTGGGGTTATGGCTTTGCTTTTGCTCGGATTTTAAGTATTTTGTTGTTTGATTTCTATCAAAGTTAATAATGAAATTGGTAAATTATGATTTTTGGGTGCGGGTGGAGGCGAATGGGGGGGGACAAGAGCAACGAAGACCTTGATCTCAACTTACCTCTCTGCTCGAAAGATTCAATTTGCGATATCCATTTGGTTAAAGAGCTAACTCCAATAGTATTTGGCATAAATGATTATTATTTCATAATTCACTTCGATCAGCCACAATGTTTGACACTTGATCAATAACTTGTATTTATTTAATTTGCTTAGTGCTATGTATGATAACTATTTACTTATATTATTAGATCCAATCTGGGGTTTCTATTGCACACTATTTGCTTTGATTATTGGCTATTCTTTGCATTGGCCTTTATCATAGGTATTCATAGAATCATTGCATATTCAACACTTTGATTAAATCAAGATTTATGGAGACAGAGAGAGAGAAAAACTCTGTTGAAATTTGCAAATCAAATGGCCCGAATGACGCACAACATATCGCGTTAAGTAATAGCTTAAGGCCCGGCCAATTTGCGATCACAATTTTTATGATATTAAAAAAACCGACGGCTTTTTGTGGCTCTGGGGCTGGAGCCAATCCGTTCCGTTTCCGATCGTATAAATCCACAAAATCACACAAGAACCTCGGATCGAGGGCCACACAACCGTGTTGAATGCGCGCGTGCACCTTTCTGTGCGGATCACCGGAGCGACACAGAAGCGGCAAACTTGATTTCGAAACAGGTAAGGTGGCTTTCGTTCAGTTTCAGTCCGTCTGCCGATCTGGCCAACATCCAAAGCCGGGCTCTGCATGTCCCTGTTAAGAAATGCGAGTGTGTTGGTGTTGAGCGGAGTGCTTACCCAATGAGATGGCTGATCATGCACTGCTAGAAAAAAAGAGCTGAAACTTACGGGTTTTTTGACTTTAGTTTAAATTAAATACAGGTTTTATATTTTAAGTACTTCATTTAGGTACCTTAAGTTACACAAAGTTTAAATACAAGATAACAAAAATATTATCTGAAAATATTACAGAATTGACATCGTTTTCTTAATAAATTCGTTGTATATTTTTAATTTTTCTCTTAAGAGCGGGTAATAGTTAAAAATGTACTTACCAAAAGTATAATTTCATGGTCTTACCATTTCATTTTTCCTTTTCACAAATAATAGTAACCAATACACATTTTATGGTTACTTTTTTCGCTCAGTGCACCTGGCTTAATCATGCTCCGCTACCCACAAACAGGTCAACACACACTCTTACCAATTTACTCAATTGACCAATACAAGCAGTGAAGCGATCATTTTGTAGACGCCTCTTTGCACACCAACAACAGGTAAGCACTCACACACACACTCTAGCGCAGTCTTGCCGGTTTTGTTGCCCACTCAGCTGTAAATCTATTCAAATTAGCTATAAATCAATTAAGGCCGATAAATACTATAATAAAACAATCCAAACTTGACTCGTATGGGGAAATACGGAGATAATCTGTGAATATTTTACATAATTTCTAGCTAAGTTAGAGGCTTAGTCAGTTTTGGCTTTACTTGAGTTAACTTTATGATGAGCTGGCAACTCTGCTCATTTATTTGGCTAACACATGCTTGAGTTTGTGTGTGTGTGTGTGTGCTGTTGTGTGAAGAGCTAGTCGTTGATTGGTTGCCTGTGGCTATGCTCGTTTAAAAACTATTTACAATTTTTTTCCCTCTTTCGTTTTGCTTTGGTTTTGGCTTTCGTAGTTTGTGGTCAATACACAAAAGGCGGCCTAAACAGTGCGAGCCAATCGCAATCAGATTTTAACCGATTTTTCTTTATTTCTCATTTGCCATGTGCGTGTGTGAGAGAGGGAGAGAGAGTAGTCGGAGTTAGTCGCAGGCTTTTCCCGTTTAATTGCATTCGATTAGCTTAAATGACTTTGGGCTAGGGTTGCGAATGTGGAAATGGAGATTGATTATAATTGTAGTGGAAAATGTGGAACATTTTTATCACGATGGGTGAAAGCTATAGATATAGGGAATGTTTTTGAAGGATGTTATATAGATTTTTAAAAGTTAGTTACTACTTATTAGCCTAAATGGTAATTTATTTTAAAAAGTATAATAAACTTATAAAATTTACAAAGTTAAATCGATATTTATTTTAGACTTTTACCAAAAATGTTTTGAAAATCTCTTATTTTTTGAGGAAATTTTAAGAAACAACTCAAATATAAACCTTAAACCTATTTAATTCCCTAATTTATTTTATATATATTTTTAAACTGTCTTCTTCTGCCCCAAATAGTCGAATTAATCACGACTTTCAAAAACAGTGGCAGACATACTTAACATCAAATTGCTGTCAATGACTTGGGGGACAGGACTCGTGTCTTTCTTTTTTGCCTTTCTTGCCTGATGGCTTAGAATTTCAGCTAGGGAACATGGAAGGAAATTACCATTTAACCCAATCCAAGCATAAACAAGTCGTGCGTTATATGCAATGAATATTCGATTAGCCAAAAAAGAGTTCCCCGTCCAATCGATTTGTGGAGGTGTAAGACAGCAAGAGGCTAACAATTGAATACAAATTAATATATTAATTGCCAGCATGGCCAGAAATGGGAACATCATTTTGACATTTTTGCCTAAATTATTGGTTGAATCCATTACTTTTTATGGCATATACTTGGGTATATTATTCAGTGAGAAAATCATATAAATGAGCATGAGAAGGTAATACTTTTGTAAATATTTAAGTTTTCATTACAGAAAATGGATTATAAAAAGACTAAGACTTACTTATCTTTCATGGGAAAGAATTTCAAAGGAAGTTATCAACCATAAAAAATAAGTATTATAACATTAAGGTAAACAAATATTTGGAATTGATTATGTGAACTTCAAATATTTAAAAACATATTCCCATAAAATACAAAAACCCATTTTAATAGCCTTACTAACCATCAATGATGAGTCATTTGTCCATCGGTTTAGGCATATATCAACTCGTAGTTAAGACTTTCGGTTTGCGCTTTGAACTCTTGTCGGTCGCGTGGCTCAGGAACGAGTCATTCGGTTGCACTTTTGGTGACTCAAACACGTCGGGACTATCGGCAGACAGCTTGAATATTAACTAGGCAAAAAGGTAACACAGAATGTTCTATCCCGCATCGAAATGTTTTGGGTCAGAAGACACTCGACTTGGCGGAAGTCAACCAGTCAGTCAGTCAGGCACGCGCTGAATTCGAGGCTTTTGATTTAACCGAAAAAGGTACTAGATCTGACCAAATAATTGATGGAAGTAACGGGGATACAGGAAATGAACTCTTTTTTATAACACTTTGAAAAACAAAATATCAGAAAATTGAATGCTTTTCTATTTTATTATTATTTGATTTGACAGACTCCAACTTTCCAGTTTTGTTATAGAGCTCAACTTAAATTTAGTTTATTTGCATTATTATAACTGTTAAGTTAGTATTTGTTAAACAGTAAGTCTAACAAAACTAGGTAATTGCTTATAGAAACATATAATAAAAATGTTAAAATACATTTTCTTCCTCTACTCGACAGCCTGCTCCACTTTAGCTGAATTCCATTAGAGCCTTCCCTTGTTTTTCCCTATTAGTTTGGCCCAGAGCAATCCCACGCCTATAAAACGTAAGCGAGACCCCAGCACGAGTCAAATGTCGTATTTCATTAGACTCAACTCATGTTAACGCAGCGGTGTCTTGGGTCCTCAAAATCCCCCACAGCCGATTCGAATTTCGAAACCAATAATATCCCAGGCCAGCGCCAATAGAATTGTAAACACATCCAGCCAATGCGCCCACAAGAAAAACAAAAAAAAAAGCGGGAAAATCCAGAATTGAATTACATGAAAATGCTCGATGCGTTTGCGGAAAGGAAATCGTACAAACTGGTCATGAAAAATGCATCACTTGACCAGGGCGCAGACCATAAAACGTTTCCAGCCAGACGATGGCGACGACAACTTGGTAAGAGCTTGGCCACAACTTGACTAGAACTTGGTAAGAACTTGGCTTATGAACTGTGTGCATTCGGAGTCTGCCTTTTCTGTGGCCTAGGAGACTGATCCTGTTCCCGGCCGGGTGATGAAAATGTACGACTTTGGCTCGAGGCGCTAAGTGAGCTTACAGAAAATATTTCACTTTTTATGGCGATGCGGATGGGTTAGGGTATAGTTCTTTTTTAAGGATCATTGTTGGCTTTGTGAAACAAAATTGGGAAGTACTAGGTTTGGTATTTAAATTCATTTTGAAATGTGTTTAGTAGATTCATTTAAGTATCAGTTTAAGCTGCTGTATTTTTAGTTTATTTTGAGTCTATTAAGGAAAGATTCTCACTAATTATGGTTATTTTTGAGGTTTGATCCATTTAATCCAATAAATATAAATAATATATCATTGAACTATTTTTGTAATATTTATAGATACATCTTATTTTGGATATTTTGATATTTTTGTTTCTTTTTGAGAAATTGAGGAAGGATTTGTTAATACACTCTAGTAATCTTCGATAATCTGTGAATCTTATTAGTGAAAAGTAAAGAGTAATCAGTATTCTACTTGACCTTCTGCCATCTCATTCTTCATATTTAGTTACAGTTCCACACACACCCAAAGAGAGCGAGAACGAGATAGCCGAGCAGACGCCCCGGGGTCGCCTGGATCTTGGGACTTGGCCAAGACAATCCTCAAATCCTCAAAATATCAGTGCCGCAGCTTTCAACGATGACGACGACCAGCCGTCTAGGTGGTGCTAGCCTCTTGCTGGCCCCGGCCCACTCTGAAATCAATCGATTCGACATTATTATTAATTTTTCATAACTTCTGCGGCGGCCAGCGCCTGGCGGCCCTCTGTGTGCATTATGGCGCCCTCAAACCCCAGCTCCATGGCCATGTGAAACTAATCTATTTGTGCGGCAAAAAGGGCCGCCTGCCTAGATGGACTTGCAGTGAGGGGCTCATCCGCATCCTGGGTAAGCGGTGGGTGCAGTGAGAAATTTAGTTTTAACTTAAGATAAGTGAAAATCTTGATATTTAGAACCATCTTCTTGTTTCCAAAATATTTTTTAATAAATATATTTTACATTTTAAGAACAAAAATCTATATTTTTGTATAATGGATTTTTATGAAATCCAATTTCCTCTCAGTGTACCTAGATGCTGGGCGAACGGACTGCAAGCGTGTTATCTGCTATCGCTGCGCTTTGATCTTTCACCGCTTCTGCTTTGCATAATAAATTCGCTATCGATGAAAACTAACTTGCAACCCGATGCGCAGGGCCGGGATTTCCCCGGCAATTTGTTTGCCTTTTGGCCATCGGCCGTTTAATTCGATTGCCAGCGCGATTTCGGCTTCGCCTTAACCATTTTATTACAATAGCATAATTTTTTACTATGCTTAATGAGTTCTGCTTTGATTAGTTTTTCACATTGTTGTTGTCTAGGTTTCCTCCTCCGATGATATCCCCTACCGCCGACCTCCTTCCTTCTTCGCTGGCGGCAAAATGGATGTTTGTTGGGTGTTCGAACGCGGCTGGATACTCGGCTTGGGCCCAGGCCAGGCGATGAGGCAGTTTAATGACTTCAGCTGGTCTCAGATTTCGAGTTGTTAGCATTACTTATTGAAATGTTTTAATTTAGCAATTGACTTTTATACGGGGCCCGGCGGCGAATGGCAATCATGTGGTTATATTGATCTGATAATTAGAATTTAACAAGGTGTCTGTGGTAAGCTTAAGTTATTGGTTAAGATCTTAAAACGATTTGCAGTTCTCGAAATATATAGAAATATTTTTTATATATAACAAATTTTTAACAAATTATTTATTCAACTGTTTGTAATGGATTAAGGGAAAAAAACATAGAAAATATTTGAATTTAAAAATACTTATAAATTTAAAGACAAATAATTTGATGATTGCTTCTTTCGTTTCTTTCCTTTTTAAAATTTAAAATTGCCGCCTAAAACTGCTTAACCACAAGGAAAGCAGTTTTAAAAATTTCAAGAGCTTTCAGTACCAAAGCTTTTGACGCCATTATGAGTATATACAGTTATCAACAAAATTGAAGAGACGAACTGCTTGAATACTGCTTTAGCCCGCGTATTTTGAAATAAAGTTTTAAAATATATTTTTAAAATTAATACATTTTACATATATAATAAATATAAGTTTGTATATTTTAAAGCCCTCTAAATTTTCTTTTAAATATTAATATAAAGTGTTTGTGGATTTTCTATTAAAAGATTAATTATTAGATATTAAAAGATATTTAACATTTAACAAATTTGATTATTTTTTAATTATTTAAATATTTAGAGCTTCTATTGCCTTTCTTTAAGAAGTGTTAAACATGAGTTGTTCTTTGTTAAACAACATTTAATATCCATCTATTTATAGACTTCTCTGACGCATTTGCGGCTTTATGCAATCTTGTATAAATTTTATTTTAATAAGGCTATAAAGAGGTATTCGACAAATTTGGATGCCAAGTTAGTCATCACAGTCTGGCTAAGCTTACTAAGATAATAATCCATGTTTATAAACTTGGAAAAGATTTTAATTTTGTGATATGTAATTTACAATAATTTTCAATGTTCTATCATGTCAGTTTAACTTGCCAAAAAATATTAATGAAAAGGAACTTAAAAAAAAAACAAAAAAACTTGTTTTGTTGCCAGGTGTTCTGCAGCAGGTGCGTACTTTGTTTTTCGCTGGAAAAACCCTATCAAATTGTCGGTATCAGCGAGTATTATATGTATTTTTGTATGTTGATCCGCTGGGGGGCCATCGGCTTTGGCTCACACGCATTGTTCCTCAGCATATTGCCCCTCATAACGAGGCGCGTGGCTGGCCTTTCCCTCTGCTACCCCCCGTATTTAGAGCAGCGTCTATATATAATGCAAATATTTGTATGCAAATTAACTCACAGACGTATTTTTGGCGACTTTTCGCGGTTTTGTCGAAGAGGCCTTGACATTGGGCATGTGTGAGGCGAAAACAAAAGTCAACTACGGAGAAAAAAGAATAATTATAAAAGTCGCAAGAGAGTGGAAAATAAATCAGGAGGAAAGTTTAAAAAAAACTGCACCAAAAATGCTCTTAAAGTTTAGAGAAAAACTTTAAATATTAATTAAGTATTGCTAGGAGTTTTATTCTGAAGGTAACTAACATGATGCTTTGTATCCTTAACTTCCTTGCTTCCTTAACTTTTAGTTGCCTTTAATTTTTAAGTTACTTAAGAAAAACTGAAAACTTAAAAGCTATACAAAATGTTTATCAGGTTTCCAATTGGCATACAGTATTAATATTTCTAGCTATCAAGTAAAATAAAATTTCATTTTTTTAATTTCTTTTAACAAACTCAAAGTATCTCTTTAAAGAGTATATAAAAATCTGACACATGCCGGGAAAAAAAGCCGGCCAAAAAGTACGAAAAAAATCGAGTACAATGAGTACCGAGCGGTCGGCGCATGTTACTGTTATTGTTATTGTTACTCACACCAAAGCAGGGGACACGCTTGTACACACAATCAGCCTACACACACTCTCTCACGGTCAAGGCATTTTCGATTCTCTGATATACCTAAAAATAAAAAATCTCCCTGCTGACCGCCGTATTAATTGATAACCGCTTTTTATTCGCCGAGTAATTGTGTTCCTAAGAAATTCCGAGACGAAAACAAAACAAATACGTATTACTTTTGGCCCGTACGATCGTTTACACTAAACAAAAAGTGTTAACGTTACGATTATCAACCACAGAATTGTATTTCAATCTGTGGTTTGACGCTTTTAGGGTGGTAAGGAAGTGGGTGCAAAGAAATTAGTATAGAGATGTGTAAAATGCGTAGAAAAATGATTAGGTAATAATGAATGGAGAAGTATAAAATGTCAAGATAAGTCATGCCAAATTTTAGGGGATTTCCCTGTTGATGTACGAGTATATTAAGATTACTTCATTTAAAGTACACTTGCCTTGTTATCTTTATGAGTTTATAGTTCATAAATTATACATTGCCAACAATTTCTTCCAAAAATTCATAAAGCCCATGTCTAAAGCCCATTTCTAAAATTATAAATGCATAATCTCGACTTTGAATGGGCGATGAAATGACCTTGTTTTTTGGATGTTAAGATTATTTTTGGTACAGGTTATTTTGGGCCCTGGCTAATCAGTAGAATACAGCCGTGTGATCGAGGCGTGTTGCTTTAGGCTAAATTTGGCATTAGATTTGATTACGCACTTTTATTTAATAGCCAGCCTGATGGGCTGGACAGTTCTGATGTTACGAGTTTGTTTATGCGAAACTCTTGCATTGACGCAAAAGCCAGACCACGCCTTCTCGCTTTATGGCAATTAAATGACACTTTGGCCAACAAGAAAAAGGGCGCTAGTGGGTGGTGGAAATTTTTGTGGGCGGGTTGAAATGCAAATGGCCAGACATGTGCGTGATGCCATAATGGTTGTGTTGCTTTTGTTTTACGCGGCGTACACGTGTCGGCAATTGAAATAGAAAAGCGACTTTGGCCCAGACACCCACGAGCCCATTAAAATCACACATAAAGAACATGGTAAAAGTTGGGGGGAGGGAGAGGAAAAGAGGTTCCGGAAAGAGGAACCTCCTCCACAGTCTCATGTGTTATGCTAATTTCTCTTTTATTGCTTGCTGCTCAGCATTTGATGCCATTTTTGTCGGCGGAGGAGGCAGCGACATCGACAGCGGCAGCAGACGATTAAAGCCAAACAGGAAATCAGCCATCGTTCCCCGTTTACCGTTAGTGTCGCAGGCAGCGGCAAAAGCCAAAGGCCATTGAATTGCCTTTTCATTACGACAACGGCGAGAAAGGCCGAGCGAAAATATATCTTCTGAGACAGTGGGTATTCGAATGGGAAAACTAAATACATAACTATTCAGTGGGGCCTCGATAGGTTATGACTTTTGCTGAAGAAGTATTTCAGTAAATTAGATAATTAAGTACTTAATTAAGTTCCAGCTCTTTTTTAAGTAATGCTAGAAAATGTATACAGTACAGTTAACACATTTTTTCATTACTCTTTTCTCTACTAAAAATTAATCCATGCAGATTTTTAATGTGTTATATAGCCCTTAAAATACCTTAGTTAGTAAATTGAATAAAAAAGTAAATATTGTCTTTAATTCCCATTAGTTATAGTCTAAGAATAATTCCTGTATCTCTGTATATATAGAGCAACCCATCAGTTTGAATCCAACTCATTGAAATACGGAGGCATTGCAGAAGGAGAGGAAGCAAAAGCAATCGGCCGTAACAAAATTTCCGACACGTGCGACAAAATTGCCTTCCATTCGGGGCGAAGAAAGTGCGAGGTGGGGTTGGGGTGAGTTCAGGGCCCGAGGGTACGGATTTAGGCAACCAGAAAGGCCCGACCAAAACAAACCCGAACCACTGGGGTTCCCCCTTATTTTCTGGCCATGTGCCTAAACAATGTTGCTGCAACATTTTCTGTTTTTTTTCCAACTGATTGAGATGCGTTGGCGGCTTTTAAGCGAATGTGTGTCAACAGGCGATTTTCATTGGGTCTATAAATAATTTTATTTTGATGGATGCTCGAGCATGAGCATTTGCAAATAAATTACTCGTCTGAACGAAACGGTATTTGCAGATAAGGTCAGCGATAATAGTTTATAGATTAATTTGCGTGTCTAAAGTCCAACCTTTTGTTAGTGACTAATCTGGTTAGATGTGAAATACTTTAGTGGTCAAAAATTGTATTATTAAACTGCTTAAGGGTTAAAATATCATATTAAAGATAATTCCTTAAATATTATTATCCAAAAAGAGGTAAAAAGAGATTTTAAAAATTTTTACATAAAGTTAAAACAAGATACTATCTTAAAGTTAAGAATTCATGATAAAATAAACCTCCTCTATAAGTAATCGGAAATTTTATGTATTTTTATGAATTTGTTTTTATTTATCCCCTCCCTATTTTGCCACTTTTGTCTGGTGCACGGCAACTGGCTGCTGAGCTGCCATTAAAACGTCGCTCGTCCGACGGACCACGTTCACTCTGCTTTGGGCGGTCGAGCTGTTCGCAACTCGGGTGAAAAACTGGAAAAGCTTTTGCATTTCGCGCTGAACACGAGCGTTTACGTATTTCGTGGCATTCGTAAAACGCGAGTATTCGCCATATCCGTGTTTGTTGTTTGCCAGCGCGTGTGTGCCACTGTGTGAGTGTGTGTGTGTGTGTGAGTGATTGAGTGCGATTGTGGTGGTGCGACGGCCACACGCGCAACGAAAGCGAAAGTTTTGTTTGGCGCGCGTGTTGCCATTGGCGTCTGCGAATTTGCACACACACGTCCCCTCACCTAGAATAGGTTAAAAGCGTGTGAAAACAAATAAAGTACAACAAAAAATAAAAAATAAAGTTAAAAAACAAGAAGATAATGCTCATTATTCCCAATGAGGGTGCATTAAATTAAGGGAACCTAAAGCGGAAGAAACACGGCATCGACATTAACATCATTCCTGCTGCAAAGACTGGGTAAGTCGTTGGGATTCGTGAAAAGGTTGCCCATAAATCTCCCGGCATTAGCATTACCATTTCTGTGCCACACGTGCGGCGCGAAATAATAATAAATATACAGCAACAACAACAACAAAAAAGCTGAGAAAATTGCACTTGACAGCCGACTTCCGATGCTGAAAGCTCTCCTTCCAACTAGAGAGGCTGTCCTCCTGCTCTCTGTGTTCTGTTCTGTTCTGTTATTTTTTGTATTTGTATTCCCATGCCATGCCCCCTCTTGCCTTTTCATCACTTGCCCTTCTCACTAGAGAATACCAGATTTTCTCGTGCTTCATGCCTCACCTTCTGAAGGACAAATTTAGGTCAGGATCCGTGGGCCTTATCACATGACTCATGCCACGGCCTTTGGCCTTTTCGGTTGACTCTTGCAACTGCATTTCAGCGGGGCCACATGGCGTATGCGCAATATTGATTTCTTAAGCTCACTGAATGTAACTCTTAAAGCTCAGACTTTACAACTTAAGGAATTATGAAACAAGTTTTAAGGAAGTTGTAAGAATACCTAACATATGTGATAAACTTTTGCGAGAAATATGAAAGACTAACAGAAACAAAGGAGAAATAAACCATTTTTAGAATAAAATTTTAGTTTAGGGAATTTATCATTTTTTTTATTTAAATCTTTGAGTTTGTTTTTATAGAAATATTACAAAATGCAACTTACTTCGTAAATAGAATTTTCCTATTAAATATAAACCCTCAAACCCTAACAAAATTCCAAATTCCCACTGGAAAAACTAAAGAGCAAAAAGTTTGGAATGTGATAAGGCCTGAACATAATTTATTTCTCCTTGGCCCTCTGAGATTTTCAGTATTTACATACATTTCCAACCGAACTCAATTTATCCACAAATAAGAAAGTGTAAGCTGAAAAAAACAAAACTTTAAAGAGTCTGAGTGCTAGCCCTTTATTTATTTCTGGGCTGCCAACTTCCAAGAACTAAGCTATAAAAGTACTTCCTTCCTTACCTTAAATGGTTTTTGGGTTTATTCCAGCCATAAAGCTGGCTGTCTATGCGTGTGAAAAATTCTTAAAATGAACAAAAAGTAAACATAGACCTTTGTCTTTAGAAATTGAGGGGATTTCTCTGGGCCAGTTTTTCAGCTGCTTATTTTTTACGGCGTGCTAAAAAGAAGCGATGGCTCAGCTAAAGTGAATCAAGCTGTGACTTCCACAATTGACAGCTGTTTGTTTATTTATTTCTTTACTCACTGTGAAAGCAATGCATTTGTTTAACTAAGATTTTTGATGTGACAAAACATTCCCCTGAATAGGGAGCTGTCCTCCAAGAAGAGTTCCATGTAAATGACTGCAAAATTAGATAAATAATCTTTAAAGGCGACTTTTAAGTGAGTTATTTTTATATTTTTGTGTAAAATGTCTGACTTGGTGGGATTACATGTTGAATCTGATTAGCTCTTTTATAGATATCTAACTTTGTGTATTTTGAGCTTTATCCTTTACACGGTCTTTTCCTTACAAATAGTATAACAAAAATGTATTTTAAGATCTGTATTCTTTAAAGGAAACTTAAAAACTTCAAGTATTAACCTTTTTTTAAATTTTAATTCCAACTTTCTTTGGTAATTTATAAATAAGTACATCTACGAAAATTTAAGAGTTTAGTCATCAGTTCAATGTTTCCATAAAATTAAGTTCTTAATCTAACAGGAAGTTGCCATGGGCATACATAGGTGGACATTAGACAGGTACCCTGACCATATCTATATCTTTTTATCTATATCTGTGATAGGTAACTCTTGCGCGTGTTTTTTCGGGGGGCCGCTCCATTCATGACACCCCATGACGCCCATAATCGTAGATTTATCAATTTTGCTCGAACGCGCGCGTTCCGCATTACAACAACAAACAAAGCAGTAAAAAGAATTGGAAAAAAATATGAGCCTCATCCGATATATAAATATAAACAAACAACAACACGGTCAGAGCGGAGCCACACACACACACACATACATAAGCATATAGCTGATATGTGGATCGTCGGCTTTGGCCTCAAATGCGGAGAAAAGAGAGCGCGCGCAGCTTGGACGGCGCAACACGTGCGTCGTTAATTCAATAAAAAAAAGTATACAAAAAAATAATAAATAATAGCAGCAAATAAAAAAGAAGAAGAAGAACAAGAGCAACACACACTCCAGCGTTTTCTCTAGGCCACTGGGCGTATGGGTAGGAGAGAGATAGTGATATAGCATAAAAGTTCATTAACGGCGTGTGAGCTTTCCTTTGCTTGCCTGTGTGGTGCATGTGTGTCTGTGTGAGTGTGTTTGTCTTTGTGTTTGTGTTTGTCCATTGTTTTTGTGCGGTTCTCTCGTGGCTTGTGTTTTACATTAACGGGAGAGCGGCTTCTATCACTCTCCCGTAGCCTAGTCTAAATGCAGTGAGAGAAAATGTGCTGTACATAAGAGAAAGAGAAGTTTAAAATGGGTTTTGATTGTTATTATAAAGAAATATTAATGTTACCCAAAATAAAACTAAAGAAATAAAATTTCTATAAGAAAAGTTTTTATCATCTTCTTATTTATTTTTCCATTTAAAAAAATTAAAACTTGTATTTTAAAGAATTTAATATTGCGTTAGTACTTATTAATAATTCCAATTTAATTTAATTTAATTTATTATAATATAAAACCTAAAAATCTTAATAAATTTCTCACCAATTTAAAAATGTTCTAAACACAACTTTATTTTCTCCACAATATAATTTTTGATAATAGGTCCGAAACTGATGATTGCAATTATTAAGTTAATATATATGTTTCAACGTTAGATAATTATATGAAAATACAGTTATTATTTTAGATATTTTTTATCATTAGATAAAACCGTAAGGCATATGAAAATATGGTAATTATCAATATGGGAATATTCCAATTTTTATCCGTGTGGATCACAAGTTTATTGCTTTCTGTTGGTTTTTTTTTCACTTGTCTAGTGGGGCTCGTGTCTGTGAAATTATCGCCAAGTGGGCTACCGCAGCCAGCGTTTCTGTCGCCGTCGACTGCGATTGAATGACAAAGTCTTCTTTGTTTTTGTGTGTTTTTATTTTTTGGTTTTAATTTATGCAGCAACTACAAAATTAATTCTCTTTTTTTCGCTTGGCTTTTTGGTCATGTCGTTTGGCATCTGTCTGGGTTTTTTTTTGGTCGCACGTGTGCGGCAATTTGCAACTGTGTGTGTGTGTGTGTGGCTCAGTGTCTGTGTGTGAGGGGGTCATTATTTTAAAGTGTAACATCTGAAAACACTAACGGCTTCTGTGGGGGCCCATGAATGCCAAATGTGAAACACGAGACGCAGATATAGCAATAAAAAATTGCCTAATTTCCTATAGTATAATTAATTCGGCTAATGGCTTATTAAGGGGATCACACTGTGGGATCCATTGAGATTTATTCAAATCCCACCGCATAAATTAACTGTTTCCGGTGCGGATCTTAATGTTTATTTATAGAGCGAACTGCTTTCTTGGGGATTCTGTGGCGCATAGGAAAGTACAACACACACACACCCAAGCTCATTTGACTTAGTACGAGGATTTTATATTGTGGACACAACATGACGTATACGCAATGTTTACATATTTATTTGGTTAGCAACGGAATTTCCCAGTAAGGTGACATAACGATAGTATTTTTGCTGTTAAGTTATTAAAATGACAGACAGGTAAATTGAACCCTGGATAGGGTTTAGAGGGTTAGAGTGATGAATTGAGTTTCACACGAAGTATCTAACAGTATGATTATTAGAAGGAGATTGTATTCCGATTAATTCAAATGAAACTTAACATTTTTACTAGTAAAAAAATATTAAAAGAAAAGGTTCATCTTATGAATTAAAGTGCAAATAGCTTAACTAGAAAACTTAGCATTTTCTAGACTTGTTTATTTATATTTTAAAACTAGTTTGATGCGTTAGTAAGGGTATATAATCTTCTATATAACCTTATATAGTAATTTTTGTATATTACTTTTGTGTGGTAGCTTACCATTGAAGTGGCCTCTTGAACTGTCCCACGCCAGCTGTTTGCACTTGGCCAACTCGCCGGCAAACATTTGGTTCGTTACCGAGCCATATAGCTAATTGCTGGCCCAATAACGAGAGACACACGACGCCTTAATAAATACAAATGTAACCATAAATGAGTGCACGCGCTATTATTTGTATGAGGAAATGCTCGTTTCAGGAAAAGTAAACCGACCCTCATCATATACCCAATATATAATATATAAGTATATATAGATATATACTATATATTCAATAAATGAGCCACACGTGCGGCTAAGACAAGCAATATGCGCTCAATGTGAACAGGCACATCTATTGTCTTTCGGTCTCCCGTTTCGCTGTATATTTCTCGCTCGTTTTATGACCACATTAGCGAATTATATTTCACTGCCATTCAAAGCGTTAAGACACAGACTAGGCAAACATAAATTAAACAAAGGCGGGGCAGAAGGTTCGGGGTTCGGAATTGGCCAACACGCGCCGCTTCTGGTTTTTCCTTTATTTGCTTTTTTTTTTGTTTTCCTGGGGATGCCCCTCGGTCGACTGCTTTACTGTCAGTGAACTGTTTTGTCCGGTCTTTTGATTAAAAAAGCCAAGCTTGGGGTCACTTTGGTCGGTGGTCTTCAAAAAGAGTTGCTTTTTGACTGAGTCACTGGTCAGGCAAGCTTAAAGTCCATATTATAAGCAGCCAGGAGCGGTCAATTCTTCATTGTGTTCGTATTATTTTAATCATAATGTTTTGCTGGTGCGATTCAAGTTTCTAGGAAATATTAATCGCAGCTCATTTCTAAAGGGAAAAAATTTGGGTTTATGGCTCAATCAACTGTTATCTACATCATAAACTCCTACCAATGAGACCTTGACCTACCCATAAAATGAATATCTTTTATAATATTTTATCTTGTTTTTAAACAGTATTTTTTGCTCCATTTTC